GGACTCGTCGAGCACGGCGAGCGGACGGGTAGGGGCGGGAGGGGATCAACACCCCGGCCCACAGCATGCCTGACTGGCGGCACGGGAAGGTGCATCACGGGACAACACTTGTGGTTTGGTTGGAAGCGCATCCTTGCAGACGCATGCATGCTCAGGTCGACAGCATCCCGAGAAGGGCCACCCACTCCCCTCCCCCTCCCCGCCACCACCCCCCAACCCCATCCACCCCACGCCCCCCCAAACGGGCATCACGAGACTGGCGGTGCACCCCAGTGAGCCGCTGGTCTTCACGGCGTGCATGGACGGCGCGGTGCGCGCCTGGGACGCGCGCAGCGGGCGCTGCAACGCCTGCTTCAGGGGCCACGAGGCCCCCGTGCAGGACCTGGCCGTCAGCCCCGACGGGAAGCTGGTGCTGGCGGGGGCGGAGGACGGCGCGGCGCGCGTGTTCAGCCTGGAGGAGGGCATCGCGCGCATGGTGGCGGAGCAGGGGCAGCGGCCGGAGCCGTGAGGGCGGTGCCCGGTGGGTGGGCTGGTGGGTGGCCACCCAGTACTCAGCCCGTGTAACAACCCACTGGCCGGCGCAGGGGTTCGAGGCAGGCGGGCTGGGGACCCCCGGGCACGGGGGAGGGGCATCCTTGATGACTCCAAAGCCCTTGCTTACGATGGAATGACGTTACCAAGTGTGCCGGCATATGCCAGGCCAGATGCCCTCGACCCGGGGGGGTATGTGTGGACGGAGCATCCCACGCGCCCGCGAGGATGCCGGGCTGGAAGGTATGTGGTCAGTCGGGCTCATGAAGAAGGTTCTGCGTCAGCCGCGCAGACCGTCCCCGACCTTTCGCCCGGACTCGCCCACAATCAGGCTCACTACATAAACCAGAGGCCCCCGTGGACCCCACACCCAGTGGTCGTCGCAACGGAGCACTGCCCCGGACCAGGTCGTACTCGTCACTATAGAAGCTCGATGCCTCACCTTTCGGGAGGGCGCGGGTGTCCATCAGCCCTAGGAGGATCTCCATCGGTGGGTAGCTCGAGTTTCGAGGGGAGGGCCCGGGCGACGGGCGCTGAGGGGTGGGGTGGGTCTTCCAGCTAGACCCCCCACGCGCCATGCGTCGGCATGCCACGCGAGTCCTGCCTCGTTCGACCGGATGTTCTGCGCCTCACAACCCCCAATTATGCGTGACGCAGGATCTGCTGCGGGCTTCCGGCGGTGGGGTCCGTGTGTGAGGACCTGCTGTGGATAAGAGCGCACACCCTGCGCATAGCCAACCACAGCAAGACCTGTTCTCGTCACCCCCTGTACCGGGTAGAGGAGGCCAGCGAGGTTTAGACACCGACACACCTCCCACCATGGCCACGAAGCCGCTGACGGTGTCGCGCGTGCCGACCATCTACTCCCTGGCCCAGCTGGAGGAGACGGCGACCTTTCCCCCGCCGTCCCCCTTCCCCCCGCCATCCCCCTTCCCCTCGCCCCCCAAGGGTGTCATCTCCACGCCCGACCGCGCCGTGGCCGAGCTGGCCGGGTCCCTGCTCCCCGCCTTCCATTACACCGACGTGGACGCGCTGGACGGCGGGCGAGTGCGCTCCTTCGGCTCCTTTGACAGCCTGACCGCCGCGCTGGGCCCGGCGGGGGGGGAGGAGGCGACTGGCGCCTCCCCGCCCTCCTCCGAGGCGGCCTCAGACGAGGACGCGGCCATGACCGAGCCCATGGTGGTCCCGCAGCGCAGCGTGCTCAGCATGCTGCTGCTGGCGGAGTGGGAGGACCGCGCGGAGCGCGGCCTCTTCCGCTACGACGTCACCGCCTGCCCCACGCGCGTGCTGCCGGGGCACCTGGGCTTTGTGGCGCAGTGTAACGAGGGCCGGGCCAGCAAGAAGCGGCCCACTGAGTTCCGTGTGGACCAGGTCACGCAAGCCTTCGACCCCGCCAAGTTCAACTTCACCAAGGCCGCGCAGAAGGAGGTGCTGTTCGCGTTCGAGGCGGGTCGGCGCGGCGGCGGCCGCGCCGCGCCGCGCTACCTCCCCTCCGCGCCCGCGCGCGCCTCGCCCCACCTCGTCTTCATCAACGTCTCGCCCATCGAGTACGGGCACGTGCTGCTGGTGCCCGACGCGCTTTCCCGCCGCGCGCAGGCCGTGGACACGGCCTCCTTGCTCTTGGCGCTGCAGTTTGCGCGCGAGGCCGACACGCCCTACCTCCGTCTCGGATTCAACTCGCTGGGCGCGTACGGGACCATCAACCACCTGCACTTCCAGGCCTACTTCCTGTACGCGCCCCTGGCCGCGGAGCGCGCGCCCGCTGCCGAGCTCCTGCGCGCCGGCGGCGCGCTGGCCGGCGTCAGCGTGGCCAGCCTGGAGGGCTACCCCGTGGCCGGCCTGGTGTTCCAGGCAGGCGGCTCCCTCGCCGACCTGGCGCGCTGCGTGGGCGCGGCCTGCGAGGCGCTGGCCGCCGCGGGCGTGCCGCACAACCTCCTCATCGCCGACTGCGGGGTCCGCGTCTTTTTGTTTCCCAATGCCTTTGCGGAGAGGAAGGCGCGGGGCGAGATCCCAGAAGGTGGGCATCATTGGTGATGGTGGTGGGTGGGCTGCAGGACTGCTGTGTTTTGACTCTGAATGCGCGGCGGTATCATCGCTTCATTTTTAAGGGTTCCTGGTCCCCGCTGATCTGTTTCCCTAAATCGAACCGACGCCCCCCCTTCACTGTCTTACAAGCAGCTCCAAACACAACCCCCCTCCTCGAAACATCCACACAGATGTGGTGGAGTCCCAGGTGGATCCTGCCTGCTGGGAGATCGCGGGGCACATCGTGATGAAGCGGCAGCAGGACTACGATACGGCCTCCCAGGAGAGCGCCTGGCACCTGCTCTCCTGCGCGTCCTACGACCCCGCCAACTTTGCGAGGGTGACGGAGATCAGCATCAACGCGGCCAAGGAGGCGATGCGGGGCAGGAAGCTGGCCACCGCATTCCGCTACTGAGGAAAGGATGGCTGCTCGTTCAGGAGTTTTGTTGCCCCCGCTTGGACGTGCTACATGTCATGTGAGGCTCCTGGCATTCCACATATTCTTTCAAGCCTTCTTTTCCTCGGTCATGGTGCCTTTTGGAGTCGAGGTGAATATACACCCAGTCAGTGAAGGGAGAGATGTGTCGTGCAGATCATAGAGCTCGTTGTGGAACACATCGGTTAGGAGAAAGTAGGAATCCACGCTTCCCCCACGAACCTCATCCCATGGGGGGTAGCGCCAAGGACGTGTCAAACTACCAGATTGCTGCATGACTGTGCGCGGAGGATAGTTTTCGGACGTGCCGCACACATCGAGACAATGCAGCAGGCTCAGCCCCGCCTGGCAGGGTTCCAGGGACTGGTGTCCTGTCGGCACATGAGCCTGGCCTCCGTGCAGCCCGCAGCCACATTCTGCTCCGCAGGTAATGGAAGGTTTATACGTTGTTTTGTTCAAGTATCTGTCTCCACCGCAAAAGATTATCCTGACCGTTGTCCTGTGTCGCCTTATCCCGCAGTACTTCCCGCGAGGTTTGCGGTCGAGGCAAAGGCGAAGACGAGGCACGAGCAGAGGGTCACACGACACAGGCGGCTCAGAAACAAGGCGAGATCTGTGCAGGGAGCTGGGTCAGGGCCACGTGTGGATCGGACGGCCTGGCGCACAAGCCCGGCTGCACGCAGGACCTCACAGTCCAGTTGCACAGTATGACCAGGTCACGCCCTGGTCCCCTCCCCACATGCCTGTTCACCCTGGTCTAATGCAGGTAGAGGGCACGACTGAGAGGCCGAGGCTGGCGGTCTTCAGGTCCTTGAATCACATTTATGCGCAGGTCTGACCAAGCGCGATGCGAGAGTGATATTGAGCATGCCTGTCTCGGTGACGTCCTGGGATGCGGTCTTCAAAGCCCCCAACTCGGTGGGGACCTCTGGGCACTGCATGTCTTCCAGCCCGCCACGTCCGTCACCACACCCACACGCATGTCCTGCAGGTGATCGACGACTCTGAGGGGCACACCCTGGCATCCATCTCGTCCCTCACGCCGGACATCCGCGCAGAGCTCTCGCACGGCGGCAACGTCAGCGCGGCCACGCTGGTCGGCCGGAAGCTGGCTGAGGTGTGCATCCAGCGCAACATCGAGAAGGTGGCCTTCGACCGTGGCGGGTTCCTGTACCACGGGAGGGTGCAGGCCCTGGCCGACGCCGCCAGGGAGGCTGGACTCAAGTTTTAGAGCTGCCTGCGGCATGCTCCTGGCTCGGCGCCCAGTGTCCATTCACCTCCGCCCCTGTAATACTTGCCCATTTGCAAGGGCGATTCTGTCGAATGCCACGCAGAATTTGGGACGGAGGAGGTGAAACAGTTTGAGATTAGGGGCTCCAAGGGGGAGCATCTCTGCTGGAGCCCATTGCTCGTCATGCACAGCAGATACCCTCTCGGCTGATGTTCTCGAGCCCCAACACGTCCTGCTTCATGTGCCTCAACATTTATCTCGGTGCACCGTGGCCTCCTCCGGTCTTGGCTTGAGTGTCCGCGGAGGACACCCGCCACCCCGACCGTTTTAGAGACGGGTACGTGGCCCTGGGACCGAGGTACCTCTGCCCCACGCCCTGCGTGTATCTACGCCCTGAGCTCATGGGCTGGTCCATAGATTGCCAATCCTTAGATTGGTAACTAATTGAAGATTTCTAGGGCAAGGGTAGGGCCTGAGAGAGTATGCGTGAGCTGAGAGCCTGGCATCGTCCCTTTCAGGCTGCCGCGTGCCCGTTACCGTCCCGACCGGACGCAATCCGCTGGTCCGATTCCGTTCGAATAAAGGAGATTCCTGGACGGCTTCGTATCCTGCACAAAAGGCAGCCGGCACTTTCCCTTCATCACCGCACAATTATCCCGAGGTTCAGCCTCCGTGCACCAATCGGGACATCAGGATCCAACACCAGCTTCGTAACCGCCAGTGTTGGGCGCTCGACCCTCACGGAGCACCTGCGTGTCCTCGGAGAATCGCGGAAGCTCACCGATCAGGCGCAGACAGTCTGAAACACAAGGTACAGGAGTGAGCATGTCAGGGCGAGTTCGTCGGGATTCCTTCGGCACCGCGAGGGTCAATTCCCACCGAAACAGCTGCGACTCCCCGACGCTAGGGCTTGCTTCGAGACGAGACCCGCCGATAACCTGGCCCCCCCCGTTCCGGCACAGCAAGCAGCATGCCGTCCGAGATCCTGCACTGCACGCCTCCCGAGGACCTTTGTAGGGCCCCTGAGAAGGTGGCCTCGTGGCACGCCCTTCCCGTGGTGCCCCGCAACCCGGTGCCAACCCTGCAAGCCCTGTTTGAGGAGCTCCACGCAGCCTTCGAGGCAGAAGCCAGCCAGGGCATCATCATCGACAACTCCCAGCCCGCAGCCTCATTCGCTCGGCTGAACGCGCGGGTCCAGGCACTGCTAACCAGGTACACGAAGGAGGGCTCCTCCGACTGGCGCCGGTATGCTGCCTTCAACAGCCACCACTACATACGCCACCTCATCGAGGAATCTCCCCATTTTGAGATCCTGGTGCGGCGCGGGAACAGGGTGTGTGTGGGAGAGGGGTTTGGGTCGGCGCTTTGGCAGCCCCCGCGACCTGTATAGCATGGTCAGCCTGCACTGAAACCTGGTCTTGTTTGGAATGCCGCCAACTTCGCAGGTTGATGCCCATAGGTGTCACGCCCTCCCCCTCCGCCCCCCTTCCTTGCAGTTGGTGTGCTGGCAGCCAGGCCAGGGCTCCCATATCCACGACCATGACAACTCCCACTGCTGGCTGACATGCCTGGATGTGAGTGCTGATTGTTGGTCTGCTGCGCCGTTAACTGGCCTCCCTTGCTCAGAGCAACTAGCCTCGCAAACCCTCACCTCCACTGAATGCCCTCCCAGTCTCCGGCCCCCGCGACAAAGATGTCATTGCCATCCAAGCACCCGCCTCTCCCTGTCCTCCTCCCCGCTCATCTCTCCCCATCCTTCCTCACCTTCTGCCAGGGCACGCTGGAGGAGAAGCATTACCAGGCCGGCGAGAGCGCGTCCCCCGTGGCAGGCAGCGCCTTCCCCGCCTCCGCCCTACCCGGTGTGGAGCGGGTGACCTCCCCCTGCCCCGCCATGCACGCCACGCACTCCCAGCGCCTGGGGCCGGGAGACACGGGCTACATCAGCGACCGCATCGCGTTGCACACGGTGGCCTGCCCGTCGGGCACGCCCGCGCCGGGCGCCGTCTCGCTGCACGTCTACGCGCCCCCCATCCGCCGCGTGCGGCTCTTCACGCCGCAGGAAGACCAGGTGGTGGTCCGGAAGCCGGGCTTCTGGTCGGTCAGGGGGGTGCGCACGTGAGGCGGTGGTGCCGGCTGCCCAGCGAGGCGCGGAGCCCCTGAACGACGTCCCTCCCCCCTTTGTGACTTGAAAGCACACACCCAGAGCTTTGCGACCTCCCTTCCAATAACATCACTGTCTTGTATGCACTGCTCTGAATCCTCTTGAATGTCGGGCCCCTTGCACGTGGCCGTGTACGCCCTCGACCTTTTGTTGCCCCCCGCGCGCCACACCTGTCTTTGGCTGGGGCCTTGCATACCAGCGTGCGCCTCTGCGCAGAGGCGTGGCAGACCCCGCCCTTGCCCCGCACCCGATTGCATGTAACATAGGGAGACTTGACTTGGCGAGCAAGGAAGCCGACGGCTGTGGATGCACGCCCCGCCCAGGTCAGGATCCAGCGGGTGGAAAGGAGTTTATAGGCAAACAGCCCAGTTCATGGCAGCATGCTGGTGCCGGTGCAGAGGCCAAAGGCCAGTGCAGCCTCCTCCTCCGCCTTCTCCTTGTCCTTTGTCAGCAGGGCTCGCAGCTTCCTTTCGATCTCCAGCTGGGCGGCATCGGGTTGGGTTGGGACGGCAAGGTGTGACTGATCGTGCACGGTGCTGTTTCGATGCATGCCAAGCATCGCGTCGTGCGGTGCACTCCCAAGCAAAGCCCGAGAGAATAAAAACAGCTCGCGAGGCGCATTGCACGGGCGAGCATGCGCAATGCAGCATATCAACTCAGCGAGGCGCAGTCTGGCTGAACGTTTTCCACGAGCTCACCTCCTCCTGCAGGACGGAGATGTCCTGGTCCCGCGCCGACAGCGATCTCTCCTTGGAGAGCAGCTCGAGCTCCCGCTGAGCGAGCTGTTGCCGTATCTCTTGGAGCTCACCCAGGCGTGACCGCCTCCTTTTCTTGCTGGGCTTTGGGGTTTCCTCTGCCGGGGTTGGGGTCACAGCCTCAGGTGGTGCCACCGCGCTGGTGCCTGAAGTCTCGGCCTTTGACCCCGATGCAGAGGGGGGATCCACCAAGGGAGGTGCAGAGGGCTGCTCAGGTGTCAGGCCAGCGGCCTGATCTAAGAGGGTGGCAGGCGAGGGACGCTGCTGGGTCACAGCAGGGGAAAAGGGGGGAGGGGGCACCGGGGGTCCCCCTCCCGCGTCGCTGTCTGCCCAGGCCGCGCCCGTACTCAGCATCACTGAGAGTGGAAGGATTCAGAAGAGTGTCAAAGACATATGGACAAGCGCAGACATGATACTCGGGGCTCAAAATTCACCCCCTTGCAGGACCCAGGCAATCCTGCCCACCGGTCACGCTCCACCCAACCCATTCTCACATGCGGCTGGTACGACGGCAATGATGGAGCCAGGGCTCCATCGCTGGACCTCCTGCCCCAAAGACCCAACCTTTACGCAAAATTCTGTCCTGTCATGGCGATGTGAGGCCCCCATGCAGCGAGGCGGTGGCGCCAACCGTTGTCGAAAGCAGCCCCTACTCTCCCAGCACTTGCGAGCCGGGGCGGGGCGGGGCCCGCATCCTGCGCACGGCTGCACCGCCTCCATGAGCAGGCTGGCTCGGTGCATGGATCGCATGCAGCACACAAGGCCTTTGCACCGGTCAGGATCGGATCAATCGGGGTTCGCAAGGGGTGTTGGTAGGGGAGCACCTCGCGCTTTCCTTCGCCTCACGACTGCTGCCGGGGCAGGGGCATCTGAGTGAGTGGCTCGCCTCTTCCTTGCAACTCCCTCCATGTCCCGTCCCACTCGGGGAGCCTTTTCAAGTTTACAGGGCCGGTAACGACACTTTCAACGCCAGACATGTCTGTCTGGCGCCACTCCCAGCGGCCACACATGCATCATGGGTAGGCAAACATGTGGGCTTTCACACGGCCGGCACGCGTCCACCTTTGCTTCCCACCGCACCCTCACCCCCCTCCCCTTCAGGGCGTAGCACTCAGAGCAGCCCGTCCAGCCCCTGCGCGGCCAGGAACGCGGCCGGCTCCAGCAGCTCGCCGTCAAACTCCGGGTCGGAGGCCAGCAGCGCTGCCAGGTCCAGCCCGGCCTCGGCCACGGCAGGCACCAGGCGCTCGGCGCCCGCCTCGTCGCGCAGCGCGCACAGCGTGGCGGCCACCAGCCCGCGCCGCGGCGCGGCCGACTCCACCGCCCCCGCCGCGGCGTCCAGGGCGTCCAGGCCCAGCTGCTTGCCTGCCGCGGCGCGGCCCAGGAGGGTGCCCAGCACGGCCGGCGCAAACCTGAAGTCCATGGCGTCGTCCTCCAGGCGCGGGGCCAGGCCGGCGACCGCGGCACCCAGGTCGGCACCGGGCACCTGCCCCGCCGCGCCCAGCCGCACCATGAGATCCACCACCGCGCGCCACTCCTCCTCCGTGCGCGCGTCGTAGGCGCGGGCCAGCCCGATCTCCGCCAGCCGGCGCATGAAGCCGGGCACCGCCAGGTCCTGGGCCGCAGCCAGTGCCTCGCCAAAGTTGCCGTCGGCCAGGAAGTCGGTGAAGATGGACTTGGCCAGCGATTCGCGCCGCTCGGGGGTGACGTCGATCGGCGTCCTGGAGGATGGCGAGGAAGGGGAGAAGGGGGAGGGTGAGCGCCGGAACGAGGCGCTGCCTGGCATTGTGGTTGCTGCGGCGTTGATGCAAGGGGGATTTGCTGACTGATGACAAGGGTGGGGCATCTTGAAACCGCCCATAATCCACGCAACCCCTTACAGTCCTCCACCGCCACCACAAAGACAACCACCGCCACCACAACCACGCACCTGACCGCGCCCGCAGCCGCCGCTGCGGGCTTGGCCTCAGCGCCGGCGCCGCCGCTCTGCACGGCGACGTACTCACCCAGGAAGGCGGAGAAGCGGCCCTCGCCCGCCGCGCCTCCCGCGCCGCGCGCCGCGGCGGCCCACCCCGCATCGTCGCTGCGGAAGGCGGGGAACAGCTCCAGCTCCTCGGGGCGCTTGGGCGCCAGCGAGGTGAGTGCGCCCAGCGCGCCGCCCGCCCCCGTCCCGTCCAGCCCAGGGATGTTGACGTCCAGGCCCAGCTCGGCCGCCGCGACGGCGCGCACGTCCTCCAGCTTCTTGGCCGTGAACGCCTCACGCCGCGGCACCCAGTGCTGCGTGCGCAGCTCGATCACGTCGCGGATGACGAAGCGGATGCGGGAGGGGTAGCCCCGCGCATTGGCCAGCTTTGACAGCGTGGCGAAGGCCGCGTCCAGCCGCGGCCGGCTCTTGGCGCCGGCCTCCAGCGCCGCCCCCGCCGTGCTCAGCAGCTCGCACACCGCCTCAATGGACTCCGCGGGTGGGTCGGGGCCTGCCTCGCCGGTGCCCAGCAGGTCCATCAGGATGAGCAGCATGATGCGGTCGTTCACCATGCCCTTCTTAAACAGCTCCGCGATCAGCCGGATGTTGCCCAGCAGCCGCTGCTTGGCCAGGCGCTCCTCCGCCTCGCGCTCGGGCCCGCTCGCCTTGGCGGCCACCTGTGGTAGTGGGGGGGAGGAGTGGGGTGCAGGGTCGATGGATTTCTTTCATCTGTGTGAAGAGGGGGAGGGTGCATGCTACTGCCCCGGGCGGTGATGGGTGGAGGAGCGGTGCGCGCGGTGCTCAACAGCGAGATCCATGACCCGACTCTGGAGAAGCAACCTATCTGACTATGGGTGCCCATGGGCAGCGATGCAGCCCAATGCGGCCCCCCGCCTGACCGAACCACCCACTCACTCCACCACTTACTAACCCCCCCCCCCAAAAAAACAAAAACAAAACAACAACCACCCACCGCGCGTGCCGACTCGGTGCTCTCATACTCCTCCTGGCAGGTGTTGGCCAGCATCTTCTTGAAGTTGGTGGGGCGCCCAGTGTCCGGCTCGTTAAACTCCGGCAGCACCGCGTCCAGCTCGCGGCAGAGGTCGGCGTACATGGCCACAAAGGTGGGTTGGTGCACCGCGGACTCAAACACCTGGATGATGGTGGCCTGCAGCACCTCGTAATTGCTGATAAGCGGGATGAACTGGCCGAGCAGGCGCTCGAACTTCTCGGGCGTCAGCTTGTTCAGTATGCCCTTCACCGTGCGCATGGTCTGCGCCGTGCCCTCCGCGCCGGAGCCCCCCGCGGACCAGGCGGTGCGGCCCAGGTCACTGGCGCGCTGGATTTTGGGCGCGTGGGGGTCGGCGGGGCCGGGCGCATGCGAGGGCTGGGCCGCGCCGTAGGGCGCGGAGGCGGCGGAGGCGCCGGCAGAGGCGGCCGCGCCGGCGCCCGCGCCGTCGCCGGCCGGGGCAGGGGTGAAGGCGCCGTGCGCGCGCCAGTCGCGCTCGTCCGCGGAGTCGGCGGCCACGCGCTGGAGCAGCTGCTGCTGGGCCAGGCGGGTGGGGTCGGAGGGATCCAGCACGATGTCCAGCGCCGAGCTGCGCAGCTCCGAGGGGGGCTCCGTGAATTGCTGCGCGGGGAGTGTGTGGCAGGGAGGTGGGCGGTGCAGCACTTGGGGACGAGGAAGGCAGGGAACCGAGGGCATCAGCCACGTGGGGGGGACAGGCGGCAGCCCCACCCCACCCCACCGACACCAACACCCACAGAGGCAAAGGTCATGAGGAAGTCCCGGGAGTAGGTGATGACCTCCCCGCGGGGCTTACGCTTCTCCGCCACAGAGGGAACATGGAAGGTCTGCGAGGGGGCAATGGGGAAAGAGAGTGGTGGTCATTTGGGCGCCGGAGTCGGCACTGGCTCGCATCCCCTGCCACTCCCCGCTGCCAGCGCCCTCGGTCACCCCGGCAAACGGGGGCGGACCCTGCTCCCGATGAAAGCCCACTCACGTTCAGCTTCAGACCCACTCCAGCGCCTTTGGCAAAGCCGGCAAAGGGATTGGTGCCCCCGCCCGGCCGCAAAGACAGAGGGCGCAGGCTGATGGTGTCGCCGCCCTGCGTCGCCATGGCTGCACGGAGCGCCCACGTATGGTGAAGGGGGTGTATGGGCGAATGTGAAAGGGGCAAGGGGTCGCGAGGACAGTCGTGATGGCCATCGCCGGCACACCCTGCGCCCCTGGCGGAAGCAGATTGTGCTCGCCGCGCATGCACAGCATGGATCCTTGTCCGTCGAGATGTGCAGAAAGACCACGACGATTAAGATGCTCAGTCCAGGCTTTGATGGTGAATCATTTCTCATTTGTATGAGGAATCTGTCCTCCTCCCGTTGAAGCCCTTGAGAACACCTCAGACAATGGCCAATAAGACATACTACATTCTAGGTAGTGCAAGCCTGCAACACACTGCATTGCCTATGCTTTTCAAGACGGTCAGTGTATCCTGGGGGGTTGATTGCGTGCTGACCCGCCAAGTCACTCCAAGCTTCCCTCTACTGTTTGGGTGAAGAGTCTGAACTGCTTGAGACAGGCTTGACAAGCTCGACTCCAGATGATCTCCAGAGTGCCTCATACTGTTGGAAGATTAGATATAGTTCCTCAGACGTTGTATGTGGAAGGATACACCTGTTGTATCCTCTGATTACCAACATGCACAGCAGAGGCATGGACACATGCTCCTCCCATCCAAAGAACCTCGTACTCACAGCCTTCTGGTTCTGGTAGTAGGCTCCACCCGCCCCAAAACCGGCACCGAAGGCCAGAGAAGCTACACGTGCCGTCTTTCCACCTGTTAGAGAGCAGAATGATGGTGGGAGAGTCCGGGTGAGGGCTGCACACATGCTGGAGGGAAGACTGACGACAGTCCTGCTGTGCAGAAAACAGCAGTGACTCACGCAGGAGGAAGAGACCTCCCACAGCTCCGATCAGGCTCCCGTAGAAGACGCTGCGCATGGTGATGTCGATGGCATTGTCCCACTTCTCGTCGATGTAGTAATGGACCTTGCTCGCCTCGCTCCCGGACATTCTGAGACAACCCTGTGCGCGCAGCGAGGGATTGTTCCTTCTACGAACTCCAAGGATACAAAAGGCAATCGAACAAGTCTCAGATCGATCACTTTGCAGCAGCGTCCGCGAATCAGGCTACCCAGGCCAGCCGGGGCGGTGCATTCCCCCATTGCCTCTCGCGCCCCCTAGTCGCTCCGGGCGCGCGGATTTATCTCCCTGCGTGAATGTGTCGCCAGTCCCTCGAGCACCTCGTCAGGCATGCGCCCGATACCTCTGTCACAGCAGTATCCATTGATCTCCATGTCATAAGCCAAGGGAGGCGTGGTCGTTGGAGGTGGCACCCCACTCCCCGTCACACAGCCCCGCATGCTGGGTTGCAACCGTCTCCTCCCCGGTCCTTTCGCCCTCTTTTCCCCCCGCATTGGTTCCAGAACCCGACTGAATCCACTGTATTCCCGTCCCATGGGGTCGCACTCCCACTTCAATCCCCCCGTGGAGGTTCCCCAGGCAGAGGGGGCCTGGGAGTGGTTCCGTGGCATGGGCAGCCCCCAGTTCTGGGTGGCGCCTATGGTTGACCAGTCGGAGCTGGCCTTCCGCATGCTGTGCCGGCGCTACGGCTGCACCGCCGCCTACACCCCCATGCTTCACGCCCGCCTGTTCCTGGAGGGGCGCGCGTATCGTGCGGAGCACTTCACCACCTGCGACGCCGACCGCCCGCTGCTGGCCCAGTTCTGCGCCAACGACCCCGACACCCTGCTCCACGCTGCGCGGCTGGTGGAGGACCAGGTGGACGCCGTGGACCTGAACCTTGGGTGCCCGCAGCGCATCGCGCGGCGCGGGCGCTATGGCGCCTTCCTCATGGACGACCTGCCCCTGGTGGAGTCGCTGGTGCGGGCGCTGGCGGGCGGTCTGACGCGCGCCCGGGTCACGGTCAAGATCCGACGCTTCGACGAGGTGGGGCGCACGGTGGCCTACGCCGCCGCGCTGGAGCGCGCGGGGGCCAGCCTGGTGGCGGTGCACGCGCGCACGCGGGAGCAGAAGACGGCGGCCGCCGTGCGCGCCGACTGGGCGCACATCGCCGCGGTCAAGGCCGCGCTGCGCGTGCCCGTGCTGGCCAACGGCAACGTGCGCAGCCTGGCGGACGCGCGGGCCTGCATGCGCGACACCGGCGCCGACGGCGTGCTCAGCGCGGAGCCGCTGCTGGCCGACCCGGGCCTGTTCTGGGGCCGGCGCGGCGAGCCCGGCGGCGACGGCGGCCCCACCGAGGGCTGCCGCCTCCTGCTGGAGTACCTGGACCTGTGCGACGCCTACCCCGCCCCCTTCCGCATGGTCAAGGCGCACGCCTTCCGCATGCTGGGGCCCTGGCTGGCCGAGCACACCGACGTGCGCGACGAGCTCAACCGCGGGCCCGACCTGTGCAATGAGCGGGTGCGGGAGCTCACCATGGAGCTGGTGGACAGGATAGAGGAGTGCGGGCGCGACGCACCCATCCCCAAGATCTCCGCCAAGTGCGTTGATTTGTGTGTGAGGGTAGTTTGGAAGGGGGGGATGGGGGTCGGAGTGTGAGGGGTCGTCGGTCCTGGGAAATACCGGAGGTGGCTGGTGTGAGTTTGCTGACGGGGGGGTTGATCGTGTGTGGCTTTGGAGTGTAGACTCGGGCACAGCAGTGTGATGAGCTGCCTCATTCCAAGCGCTGCTCCATGGGTCAGGCTATGCAGTGTTCAGTGTATCCTGCTTGGGCTGCATGAGGCGAGGCTGGTGCCAGGTCTGGACCCTGCCAGTGAGAGGTGCGCCTTCAAGAGCAAAGGCCTTCCCTCATCCACCTTGCACCTGCCCTGACCTTTGGTGCAGGAAACTCGCGGCCATGGAGGCCGAGGCAGCGCGGGCGGCTGCCATAGCGGAGCAGGCCAGGGAGGCAGAAGGGCTCGCGGAACTCGGGGTTGTGAGCGCTGCGGCCGAGACCGTCCATTGACAGCTTGGCAGCCCAGCGTTCCTGCCCTACCTTCCCTGAACTCGGTCATCATGCACCTGGGCAGGCATTGCCGTGTAAGCTTGCAGCACATCAGCAGGAGTGCAGGCGTCTCCATGGTTGGCACGTCGCGGGCCAGTGATCCCTCAGTAAACAACAGCGCCGCTCGGCACTCACGCCGCCACGGCCTCCTCTGCGCCATCCAGCCCGACGTCGTCCAGCGAGACTTCACCCTCCACCACGCGGGGGTTCAGGTCTATGAGCCGTGTGGACAGCTGCGCCAGCTCAGCAATGGCTATTCGTCCCCGAGAGGTGATGGCTTCGGCCACGGCCTCCAGCTCCCCCCGCGAGATGTAGATGAACTGCGTATGGGGTGGGGCGGCGTCGGCCGGGGGTTCCCTGCACTTACCACAGGCCCAAGCACCCCTCCCTCATCACATCAGGCTCGCGTCCCCACCCTCGCCACGCACCTTGCCCCGGTCGTCCATGATGCCGGTCAGCTTCTGCTCGGCTTCCAGGCCCTGGACCTTCTTGATGACGTCCGCGACCTTCAGCCCAAACTCGGCCGCTAGCGCGTCAAGCTCCACCGTCTTCCGCGTCTGGATGTATTCTATGATCTGACCCTCCAGAGACTGCGCGGCAGGAAGTAGTTGCATGATGGGCTCTGTGCTCGCCGGCGAGACGCCGAGGGTGACGGTGGGGTTATGAAACCTGCAGGCAGGTCAAAGGCACCACTCCCTCAGCCACACAAGCTCCAATGGGGAACCAGAGAGGTGGGTCCCTGGCTCATCCCCCAGCCCCTATGAAAGGCCTTCCCAACTCAACCCACTCCCTCCACACCTCGCCCTGCTCCTGGGTCAAAGCCTCCTGCCCTGTTTCCTCCACCGTGAACATGGATCGCCACTTCTCCGCCTCTGCCTTGTCCCTGGCCTCACGAGCCGCTGCGGCCGCGGCAATCTCGGCCTCCTGCGCCGCTTCCAGAGCCTCACGCTCTGCTTCCCGCTGTGCACGCTGCGCATCATAGGCCTGCAGGGACGATACTCATGTGAGTGCGGAGGCTCCAATATGGGCAGGAGGATAGAAAGGAGAACAGAGCATGGACCAAGGGATACCATTGTGACCGTCAATCACACTGCAAGCATTCGACCACACCCAATGCCTGCCTGTCGTTTTGAGGCTACCACAGGATGGTGCTGCTCTTGCTGCTCATCCTCGCCGTCCTCACCATATGCCTGTGTCGCATTGAAGCACTGAGTCTTACCCTAGAATGCTGAGTACCCTGTCATCCAATCTACACCCATTCCTGAGGCAGCACGCAAATGACATCAGTCCTTCCCACCTGTTCGTCATCATCAGAGGATGCATGGCCTCTGGCCCTCCTGGCCCTGCGGCGCCGGAGTCCGGCCTGCATCCCCCCGCCTGCCCCTCTCCTGTCATCCTGCGAGATGGTGCAGTGGAGGCTGCCTTTGTTATTTGTAGCACAAGGACCCCATCCCAGGAAAGCCGGGTGCACGAAGCGCGTACACTACCTGCTCAGGAGCTGCCACCTCGATGATTGCTACACTAGATTTCGTCTTGATCCACCATGCTGCCGTTGCAAGGACGATCACCGCGAGCAGCAGTGTTACCAAAAGCGGCAACATGGTGTAAGAAGTGATCTCAAGGGCCCGAGCGAGAGTTACTCAGCCGTACTACCTAAATTATACCCCTCGTCTTATCACGTTTTACAGTGTTTGCATATACATTCATCGTTGGCACGTACACACAAACCTCCAACGCGCGCCCAGATGAGACTCGTCCTCAAGGCGCGCTACATAGCACAGCTCGGTCTCAAGGGCGGAGCAGGATTTCAATTGATGACCCAGGTCATCGAGGTCCCATGCATGTAACTTCACAGGGGATTAGAGCCCACACTTCACCTCGAGGGGGCCCTCGTCATGGCGGTGGCGATTGCCACAGTGTTCGACCTTCCGGAGGAGACTTTTGCGCGGTGCACTCCCCTCGATGCGGGGCCCTCCACGGGAGTCCAGCTCACTCTGGAGAGGCTGGAGGCATTGGAGATAGCAGATCGCCGAACAGATGCCGACGCCTCCGGCCTGACCTGCACCTCCTGTGGCCTGGGCAGGGCACAGGAGCCGGCCTTCCCATCTGTGGAGTCCCAGCGGGAGCACTTCAGAGGGGACTGGCACCGCTTCAACCTGAAGCGCCGCCTGGCGTCCCTTCCCGCCTGCTCCGAGGCCGATTTCGAGGCCCTGGTGGCACAGAGGGACGGCGCCGAGGTGGGCAGCTTGTCCGGCAGCGAGAGCAGTGACGACGAAGATCACAATGGCGGCGGGGAGGGCAAGGCACCAGACAGGGCGGACGGAGGTCCCAGCGCCATCACGTCTGGAGCGCGCGGGCCCTACACCTGCTTCTGGGACCCGGGGGAGGAAGAGACGCTGGGTGTCTGGCGCAGCATTGTCGGCGGGGCCAGGGATGCGGCCCCCAGCGAGGAGGCGGCCTGGAGCACGCTGCGCACGCTGCGGACAAAGGGCGCCACCTGGGCAGTCATCATGCTGCGAGGCGGGCATTTTGCGGCCTCGGTGCTCAGGCTGGTCCCCGCTCGCATCGCCGACAAGCGGATTGCGGACAAGTTTGACGTCGTGGGCAACACCTCGGCTCACCGCTACGTCACAAGGTGGGTGCTCTGACTGACGGGCCAGAGGAGAGGGAAGTGGCTTTCCTCTAAGGGGGAGGGAGCCTGGCATGCAGATGCTGGGCATGAGCTGTGAAGGGGTGCATGCTGCGCCAAGGCGGCCTCCGTGTCCAGCACAGCTCCACTCGAGATACACATTGACACGCAGCTTTGCATCTCAAAACCCAATCACACTCTTCAGGGCAAAGGCGGGCGGGAAGCAGTCGACCCAGGATGCGACGGGCAAATTTGCCAAGTCTGCCGGGTCGAGGCTGCGGCGGTACAATGAGGCCGCCCTGGCAGAGGACGTGAAGAGCGCCCTCACCTCCTGGACGGCCTTGCTGGGCCAGTGTGATCTCATCCATGTGCAAGCGCCAGGGTCAAACTGGAAGGACCTGATGACGGCTGCACCGGCAGTGCTGAGCCCCAGCGACCCCAGGCTGAGGTGAGTCATGGGAGGAGAGGGGTTTGGGACAATTTTCTTTGCTCCTTGTGGGCCGAGACACAGGGCAGCGGACTGTTGAGGAATTGAGCCACGAACACGCTCCCAGGTCACCTTTTACAGAAACGTTGCCGACTACAAAGGTCCCATCCCACCAGATTGTGTTGGCATCACCATTGATGGTACACCTCCGCCCGCTCAGGACCGTGCCTTTCACCACCCGGCGGCCGACGTTCTCCGAGAACAAGCGTGTCGCCAGGATCCTCATCTCAGTCTATCGCATGCCTGCCACCGGTCAGCCCAGCCAGCCTTCAGTTGAGGCGCCGGGGGGGGAAGCGGTGCGAGGAAAGCAGTCCGAGGCTGGGCCTGGATCGCAGCCCGGTGCACCCCGCCCTGGAGTGTCAGCTGAGGTCATCAGTGCAGCTGACCAGGGCCCTGCAGAACCTGAGGCGCCCAAGGGCCTGTCCAAGAAACAGAAGGCAAAGGCGCGGGCCGCGCGCAGTAAAGCCGCAGCCAAGGAGCAGGCAGCGATGGGGGGTGAGTCCCAAGAAGAGGAGCCCGCGCCCAAATCCTCCGAGCCTGTTGCGGACGAGGGTGACGTCCTAAGCCGAGCGGCGGCCCTGGCAGCCGCCACCGCCAGCGCAGCGCGCAAGGGGTGAGATTGGCGACAGCTAAGACATTTTTCAAGGCCTGGATGATGCCCAGGGATTGGCGTGAGTCACAGTGGATGGTCTGGCAGAATTCTTCATCCGCCACTCCCATCCCATTGCCTGATTCCTGTGCAGGGCCGCCACTCCGGCGCGAAGCGGCCGACCTGCCACCCAGGCAAGGAGGGCCGATGGTGGGAAGAAAGGAGGGAAGGTCAGCGCAGAGGACATTGCGGCTCGGCGCGTGCGGCTGGCCGCCGCCGCCGAGGCACGCATGGCGGCCCTGGCTTCCGCTTCGGCTGCACAGAAGCTGTGGTGAGGGCTGCTGGTTGAGCGCTGCATCCCCTCGTCGGCTCAGACCTTGCCAGCCCTGCTGCATGTCCGCACCCTCCCCCCCCTGCACAGGGAAGTGGGCCCAGGCTGAGGGGTGTGGTGATGTTGGTGGGTGCAGCACTCCTGGTCAGCCTCTTCGGCTCTGGCAGGAGGAGGATGGAGGCCTGATAAGGAATAGTTGCTGACACAGGTTGAAATATTCAATACTGAGGCAGCTTCTTTGTCTTTGTCATGCTTTGCCAGGAGCACTCCATACCTTCCTTTCAGAATCAGCAGGGGCACTGCCCACATTCCTTTTTTCAGTGTACTTGCCACTGTTGGCTCGTCATGCCACTGAGTGCTCAATCAATCACCAATCGCCACCTCGTCCCATTCCTGCTGCAACCCTTGTGAGCTCCTGCTGGCATCATACCTGACTGCTGTCAGAGTGTCCACATGTTTTCAACTGTCTAGGCGGGAACCTCTGCGATGAAGCACTGCACGGTCACCACAGCTGGCTACTGTGCAACATACAAGTCCCAGCACGCCAGCTGCACCGCCCCGGCTGCCGCTCGATCCAAGAGCTCCAGGATGCGCAGGCGGAAGGCCACACAGGGGAAGCACGACTCGGTGGGCAGGTCAAAGGACAGCGCACTGCCGCGCTCGGGGAAGCACAGCCCCTCCCTTTCGTCCAGCGTCACCCATTCTATTGTGTGTGGGACGTGGTGGGAAAACATCTGAGGCATGTGTCCAGCAAACCTGCACCGGCTGGCCAGCAGTCTCAGCAGAAGCCGGCTCCCTCCCCACCGCTCGGTTTCCAGCCTGAGGCCACAGCCTGGTTGGCGTTCAAACAGCCGCCCCGATACAGAAGTGACCCCTCCATCCACCTGAGCTGCCGGGCCGCTGGCCCTCCAGGGCAACAGCCTTGGGGTCCCTCGCCGGCGCATCGTTCCCGGCGGTCAGCACGTAGCGCGCCACCTCCACGCCAGCCTTCCCTGCCCCCCCTCGCACCCGGTACTCGAGCCAGGGGACCGCGCCGAGGGCGCCGCCCCCGAAATCCAGCCACTTGGTGGCTGGGTCCCCGTCAAGCGCCCGCACAGCGCCCTCCGCCTCGCCGTTTTGCCCGGAGGCCCTGACCGCACCCCCCGTCAGCCGGCCGGGGAGGCGGGCGGCCACCCCCTCGTCCCCGGCCAGGCGATATCGCACCAAGGGCGGCCCAGCTGCGGCTGGGCCCTCGTCTGCGGCGCCAGCTTTGTTCCCCCCACCCTCGCCACGGGACGCCACCCAGGTCTCGCTCCCCGACTGCCGGCCCGGCAACCTCTGGCGGGTAGGGACTGGGTTTGGGTCCCTGGCCGCGTCGGCCGCGTCCCTGGCCGCCAGCTCTGCGAGTTGGTCGGCCGAGAGGTGGCTGCGCAGCTGCGCCGTCGTATGAGCCAGGTACTCTTTCAACCAGTCTGTTTGAGGAGGATGTAGCAGGTTTTGAGACAGAGGTCGGGGAAGACAGAAGCACGACCATGGACAGGGGCATGCATGGAGGCTAGCTGGGCTCTCGTCAAGCAGCTTCCCAACCCAGCTGCCTCCCAGGACCCCTGGCTGCCACTCTCCCCGGCCCACCTGCGTCCACGAGCACTCGGCGCGCCTTCATGGCCTCCCAGTCGCGCGCATACCTGCAGGACACATCCACCACACCGTTCTCGTCCACAGCAATCACGTACGACAGCCGCTTGCCCCAGCCAGCCTTGATGTGTGTGTGTGGAAGGTGTGGGGTTGTAGGGAGGGATGGATTTGATAGGCTGTTCCCCTCGGACCGTCGTCTCATCGAGGTGCCAAGTCAGGACCTCTGCTGCACACGCGGCTGAGCCCACTGGCCCAGGCCCACGCCTCACATCAGACCCGGCCATGCTGCACCGCCTTCCAGGTCAAACGCCGTCCCCCTTCCTCCCTTTCCCCCCTTTCCACCTCGTAGAGGAGCGGGGTGTCCATGGCGGCCTCGCAGGGATCGGCGTGCACCCAGCGCCCCGGCGCCTCCCCCGCCCGCAGCGGCAGGAACACCTCCGCCCACACGTGGTCGGTCCAGTCCAGGGCCTGGCGGGCGCGGAGGCCCGCAGCGGCGCAGCACAGCGCGAAGGCGTTGGCCCACTCCCCGCACCGCCCGCGGCGCGTCTCCAGCAGCTTCAGCGGGTCGTTGTAGCGCGGGAAGCGGGTCTCCGCGCCACAGGCCGAGCAGGTGTACACCTCTGGCATCGTTGTGGAGGGCGGGCTGAGGAGGGTCAGTGCTGGGATGCTGGGTGTCCGACTCTCGTGCATGAGGCCTCTGGGAGCCACAGGGCGTGGTCCAGACCACCAAGCCCATCCCACGCGGCACATGGACAGGCAAGGAAGAGCCTTGCAGCCTCGCGGCCAGCCAGGCAACCCTCCCCAGTACGCGCACCCACGACCGAAGCCAGGTGGGCTGCCTCCCGCGAATCGGGCGCCGCCGTCCGGGCCAGGCGGGTGGTGTCTTTGCCATCGCAGTACCCGCACACCGGCCGGTCGGTCTGGGGGAGGCCAGGGAGATGCGATGCATGGGCCTGATAGACCTGCGTCCTGTGCCATGGGATGCAAGGGGCGCGCGCAGACATGCACCCTCAGCGGAGCAGCACGTGCAGCGCAACCTCCCCTTTCCTTCTCATGCCCCGCCCCGCGCAGCTCCTCCTAGCAGCCCACCCAGGTGAAGAACTCGGACTTGAACCAGGCCAGCAGGCCCCGCAGCAGGGCCTCCTCTCTGACGAGCGGCGGCTCCTCCTCCATCTCCATGCTCAGGGCCACCGCCGCCCCTGCCTCGCCCTCCAGCCTGTCTAGGGGCATGAGGCTGGCTGCCAGGGCCTGGGCCAGGTCGTCCTGGTAGATACTGGCCTTGCGCAGAGCATCCTCGATGCGAGCGATGAAGGCGCCCGTGTGCACCTCCCTGCCTCCCCTCAGCATGCTGTCGACGGGGGGCGACCCCGGCACCTGAAGACGAGGAGGGGGGCGGGGGAGCGGGACGGTCCGCAGCCGATGCCGATGAGATGCTGGCTGGTGATGATGTAGTTGAGATACCTTTAGACCAAGTAACCCCTCCAGCGCTGCGGATCCGTGTGCTCACGGCCCGGTGTGGAAGTGATCTGGCCCGACCGCGCGGCCGCCCAAGTGGAAACTGGTAGCCCCCCTTACACAGGATCCAGGGCAGTCGACCTCTCAGGCTGTACCAGCGGACGAGGATCGAGCGCAGGCGCCGCTCGATCACCGTAGCGGGAGTGCCGCGCTGGATCGCAGTCATGAGCGGGCGTCCAGTCCGCTCACCCCTTCGCGCCTCCCAAGGCCACCCCCCCCAAGCAGTGCAACAGTGTACATGGCACGTGGGATCCATACAAGAAAGCAACCACACATCACGCCTCGCCCCGCGCGGCAGCGGCCAGCTCCCCCAGCTCCTCCCGCGCGGCCTCGCTGGCCAGGAAGGCGGCGCCCAGGTGCTCGACACCCACCTCCCCCCCGGTGGCCTCCCCGATCTGGGCCAGGGAGGCCACCTGGCGCAGCTTGCGCGCCGCCTTGGCCGACAGCAGGGGCCGGAGCAGGGCCAGAACGGCGCGGAGGAAGCCCGCGGGGCGGACCAGCACGATGACCTTGACGTTCTTGCGGAAGGGGCGCGGCAGCGTGGTGTAGGCGCCCATGATCCACATGCTGGGCAGCGTCGCGCGGCGCGCGGTCAGCACCAGCACGTAGTCCCCTCCCTCCACCAGTCGCGCGAGGTGTGCGGTGACATAGCGTGCGGCCGAGGACTTCATGCCCGCCGGCACGCGGTCTGCGTCCAGCACCACCACGGGGCGGCCCAGCGAGTCCACGCCGTCGGCGTACACCAGGCCGCGGAAGGTCTCCTCCCAGGCGGGGTTGAACTCCTCGGGCATCACCACGGGCGACGGCGGGGCGGGCGCGGCCGCTGCGCCGCTGTCGGGCCCGGCCTCCATGGAGAAGGACGCCGCCTCGACCTGGGGAGGGGCGCTGGTCGGGGGGACCCCACCCGCCTCTCCGTGCTGTGGCACACCGCCGGCGCCCTCCCCGCTGCGGTAGATGGTCAGGTCCTCGATCTCCTCTTCCTCCTCGGCCTCGGCCTTGTTGCCCGGCCCCTGCGACGCAGCCGCAGCCGCCGGGGCCGGGGCGCCGCCGGCCGTCGTCAGCGACAGCATCGCGCGGCCCTGCTCCGCCAGGGTGGTGGGGCTGTCCGCGCTGGGCTCCGCCTGCAGGCTGTGCTTCAGTCGCACTATCGCAGACTCGTTGGCCGCATACTCGTGGCTGGCCTCGCTGCTGGGTGATGAGTCATCCTCGGTGAGGGCGGCGGCGGGCGCTGGAGCGGGCCGGGCGTGGCCGGCGGTGCGGCCCCGTCGGCCCCAGATGACGCAGCATCTGCCTCATCAGCGCTGGGCCCTGCCGTGGTGACCCCTCCAGCCTCGCGCCTGGCACCGTCCCCACCCCCCGCATCAGCCCTCGGGGCAGGCTCCCCGGAGCGCGACCCCTCGCCCGCCCTGCTGCTCCCCTGCACATCCACCTCCGCGCCCGCCTCCGGGGGAGGGACCTCCTCCGCGTCCTGCAGCGAGCCGGCTTGCGCCTGCGTGTCCGCGCGCTCAGCGTCCAGCTCGGCCGCCTCGCCGGACAGGTCGCCGCCCGGCTCGTCGGCGCGCAGCACCGACTCGCGGAGTCTGGAGGCGCCACGGGGGCTGGCGGGGCCAGTGCCAACGCTGGCCGCGTCATCCGTGCCGTCCTCCGCCTCGCCGCGGGCGGGAAGGCCCGAGATGGAGGACCCGGGGGAGAGCACGACCTGCTCCTCCTCCATCACGCTGGGCTCGGTGGCCAGCAGGGTGGCGCCCTGGAGGAAAGCGCAAGCGCGTGAGCGAGTGGATGAGGGGTGGGGGATGGGTCTCCCGTGAGTGCTCCCTGCAGACCCACCCCGTGAACGCCCTCGAGTTGGGTGAGACCCGCCGCCAAAAAGGCCTCAACAACCAGGGTCGCAACACGTCGTACCTGCCCAAGGCCCAGGTCGTCCTCGGCAGCCTGTGCAATCTTGGTGTCCTCGTCACGGGCCTCAGAGTCGAGCTCATCTGCAGTCAGCAGTGCCAGGGGGTGGGTCACAGATGAACGGTGCCACCAAGACGCGTTGAGAGTCCGCTGCAGGAGACAGGGCCCCTGGCGACCTCCCATACCCCTGCTCACACTCTTGATTGTCATACACCGACAGCGCGTCCTTCTCGGCTGCCATGCTGCTGGCAATCGACCTCGTGTCTCCGTCACGGGGTCCCCGCCTCACCCCCGCCCAGTGATGGGTATCCAGACCCGGTGCACCGGCATCCACCACTTGTGGAAGATCGACGGGGCGCTTGCCCTCCCTGCCAGACCCGATGCTGGAGACCTTGGGGGAGGTCGTCCCCTCCGATCCCGTGCCCGCGCCACTGCGCAGCTCGATGACTGGCTCCTCCACCGTCATCGAAATATTCAACGTCTTTTTTAAGATTCCAGAGGGTACTTGGATCAAAGAGTCTCGGAGCTTGGTGGACAAGTGCCCGATTCTCGTACACAAGCTCGAATCTAAGGGATCGGTTCCCTGGGGAATCACCGCCATGACGAGGCCAGCAAGGAGGGCAGCTTCCCTTGGAAAGCGAGGCTGACGCATGGTGCACCAGACTCAGACCAACTCGCGAACACGAGGGAATGCCTGGATGTAGGATGCATCCTTGGCTGAGTCCCCGGAGTGAACAACAATCCTCCACCCAGAGCACCTGTCTCTCCCACCCTAGCTCCCAGCTGCTAGATAGTGTCTCTGCGCGGCCTTGCAAACATGCTCCTCCACCAACTGTTTGGATAACGGGGCGTTACATGGGCCAGGAGGTGGTCAGCTGCAAGGCTCACTTCTTCTTCCTGCCACCCTTGCCGGCGCTCTCCTTCTTGACGGCAGCGGCCTCCTTGGCCTTCTGCAGCTTCAGCACCTTCTTCACGATCTTCTGCTCCTCCACCAGGAAGGCGCGAATGATGCGCTCCCTCACGACGCCAGCGGCCAGGTGACCGCCATAAGCACGCTGCACGGTCTTCTTGCTCTTGTTCAGGCGAGAAAGCTCACGAGGGCGCACGGCAGGCAGCTGCAGGGATGAGGGCAGTGGAGTGTTTAAGACTCGACACGTGGGTTGTATGCCGCAGAAATGCCTCGCATGTCCGAAGAATGCTTAAGCAGGACGACCCCGTTCTTGTCGTCCAAGCTCCTACCCAGACCTTGCACCCGCGAAAACCAGTGGTGCCGGCGAATAACGCCTTCCCTCCTCCCGCACCCCGTCCGCCTCAAGCTTACCCCGTTCAGGCGCTGGCCGGAGATGGGGCAGACCGGGAAGGAAGCGGGCTTCACCTGGCGCTGATAGACGAGCTTGCCGCCTACGAGATAGGTGGAGAAGGGAATGGTGTTCGAACTCGGACCCCTCACAACGCCCCGTCCATTGAGGGATACCTATAGAGCTTCAAACTCACCGGGCGTCTTCACGATGCGCTGACGGTTGCTCTTGGTGTGGTAGGAGTGCCTCCGCCGGTAGGTAAGACGCTGCACCATCGTGACAGGCTACTCGGCGCTGCTCCCTACGCCTATCTATTTCCACTGTCAAAGAGGGTTCCGCGTGTGGAGGACGCGCACCTTGACGGGAGGCGCACTGAGACGCCCGTCGAGAGCCGCCTGCCTGGCACCCCCAATAAGAAAGCGCGGGAATCGGGCTGGGCCCCTTGAGTGCTCCTCACACTGCTGCTGGATCATCCACCGATAAAAGCGACCAGGTGAAAGTCTCGACATCAATTGAACTCGAGGTTTCAAGTGCATCAAGCAAGTTAAGGTGCTTCTGTTCTCGGCATTCCTCAAATAACATTAGCTGCTGTCCTCTGAAGATATGTGTGTCTTCCTTCAAACTTGGAAATGCTGTGCTCACTGTCATTGTAGATGTGAACACACCAAATTTGAAAGTCTTCACGACTGTTGCGTCTCGATTCAAGACAAAATTCACGGGCTGTGAATACAACTTGAATGGGCTGCTAGCATTAGGTGTCACAAGTATTATGCTTGTTCCACAATCGATCAGCTGAACCACACTGAGATTTCCATGATATTGTTCTTCTGCACATTCTCCCCTCGAGTTGAAGATTACAGGGGATGTATAAAATCTTCTGGTCCATCCTAACACGTTCAGCTTGGCTCCCCGTTCCGACAAAGACTCTGCCCGTTTCAAAATCAAGGCGTCACCACGAACTCACAAATATCTCACCCGTCTTGCTGCCCATTCTATTCAAGATTCCTAAATTCAGTTACCTTAACACGTAGAGGTGGGTCGCCTCCTGGAAGGTCCTCGTCGCGGACCAGGTGCTGCTGTGCCTCCTTCCAGGTGTGGCTCGAATGGTAGAGCCCGGCATGCTACTCGTACACCAATAATAAGGGCCATTGTTTGCTCGTGCTAACTCCTTCGCCCGGGCGTTCCCAGTGCAGTCCTTGACCTACTGCTGCACGGGATGGTCCCGGCACCCTTCCTGGCGACCTCCGGCGCGTGCTTGGACGGCATGAGCCACGCCTCCCACCTGCGGGGTGCCGTTTCCGCCTTTGCGGCTGCCGCGAGCTTGTCCCATGACAGTCCGCCGATGGCCCTCAGCGTGACCGCAGCCCTGGCCCCCCCTCCCCGCACCCATGCCCGCACGGACTACGGCATGGCTCGCCTGACCATCCCCGCCACCTGCCTGGCAACGGCCAAGCCTCGTCGGCGGAGAGGGGATGGGGGCGGTGGCCCTGGGGATGGCGGCAGCGGCTGGGGCGGGGGCGGGGGTGACGACGACGACGGTCAGGCTGCATGGCAGGACGACTCCCGGCCCTGGTCCATGAACCTCGCCATGCTCTGGACGCTGCTCTGCGCATACGCCGTGGCGCACTCCACCCTGTACCTGACGTCCACCTGCGCGAGCGCCCTGGTCCAGCTCAACGACAGATGGAAGGTAGAGCGCCAGCTGGCGAGGAGCGCGGGGCTGGTCTGAACCGGGCCCCACTCGCCCCTTCTTCCCAAGACCTGCCCGGCAAGCCTGTGTTCAGAGATTTCTGCCGACCGTGCACGGTCCCAGCGACACATAGCTGGCCCGGGTGTGGTAGCCATGGACCAAATGCTCCCGGCTCGCGTCCTGCTCTCCGGAGCCCCTTTCATGTAGGCTAACTGCGCTGAGAACCACCCCGCTGCCTGTACACTGTGACCTTTTCTGGACCATGTATCATCACCCCTCCCCCCCCCCCCCTCGAACTTTTTCCTCCCAAGTGGGCTGTATATCAGAGAGATTTTATGTATTGTGAAAGCACACCATGGCACATGTGAAGGAAGAGATGAGCACAAGAAGGGTTTCTTGTGGGACACACGCAGCTCAAGAGCAGAGTCACCTCCGCTCCTTGGCGCCGACCTTCTTCGCGGGCTTCGAGCCCTGCGTGGCTGGCTTGCCGCGGCCGTTGGCCGCCGCCGCTGCGCCTTCAGCAGGCTTGGCCTTCTTTGCTGCCTGCTGCTCCGTCGCTGCCCCCTCCCTCGCCTTCTGCGCCTCCCGCTCCTGTTGCAGCTCCGCCCTGGCGCGCTTCACGATCCCCCGCTCCTTCTTAGGGGTCGGCACCGCGGGCTCCGCCCCGTCGACCTCCGGCTCTGCGGCCGCGCCGGCCCGCCTCCTCGCCGGCGAGGCCTTGGGCCTGCGGGCCGGTCCTGGCTGCTGCTTTGCTCGAGGCCCCTTGTCAGCCGGCGATGGCGGCTGCCTCGCGGGCTGGGTCTGATGCTCCAGGGGCGCAGGTTGCACGGGCTCCTCCTCCGACCCCTCGCCGTCTGAACCCTCCTCAGCCTCCTCGTCGTTTCCAGAGCCACGCTTTGCGTTGGAAACCTTCTTCAGCTTGCACACGAAGAAACCTGCGGTGTGATTGGGAGGGGGGAGTGAGGATCCCATCAGGTTTGGGGGAACTCAATACAGGATGCTCCTGGCTCCCCCCCCCAGCATTATCTCGGCGGTGGTGGCCAGGAGGCAGCATCCAAGCTGCCTCCAGCATGGCCCCCCTTGCCAGTCAGGCCCTGCATGAGCCAGTGTGAGCCTACCATCCCAGCCCATCCATTCTCATGGTAATCAGGAGGCATGGCCCAGCCTCACCATCCAGGTTGTGTGCATGGGGGTAGAAGCGGCGGGCATTGGACAGGGAGGGGTGGAACCGAAACTCCCGATACTTGACGAAGCCGGGCCGTCCAAACTCGAGGCCGGTGGGCACCACCTGCGAGGAGGGGGCGAGAGGGATGAGTCAGCAAACTTACTGGTGGGATGGATGGCTCTGTCTGAGCAGGAGGATTGTTGACATTGATCGACCATACTGCTGTGCCCTCGTGCGAGGCAGGCTGCTCTGGGCCTGCAGGCACCGGGCGACTGGCAAGCGCCCCTTCTCTAGCCAGCCCCAACAACCCTCCCAGACAAAACACATGCAACTCCACTTCCGCCTGGCTGCTGAAACTAACGAATTCCCACTCCTCGCTCGGCGCCCTTCTTGGCACCCCCCACCACCACACATACACACCTTGACGTCGCGCTTCTTCAAAGCGTAGTTAATCACGTTCTCGTTCTCCTCCACCATCATGGAGCAGGTGGAGTAGACCACATAGCCCCCTGTCTTGGACCCCGCGTCCGCCAGGTCGATGGCCGCGAGGAGGAGCTGCTTCTGCAGGAAGGCGCACTTCCAGATCTCGGCCTGGTTCTTGGAGGACTTGACCGTGGGGTCTTTTGAAATGACCCCGGTGCCGGAGCAGGGGGCGTCCAGCAGCACGCGGTCCATGGAGCGCTCGCCCAGAACCTTGGGCAGCTCGCGCCCATCGTAGTTGCACACCACTGCAGATGGAGCGGGGATGGTGGGTGAGTGGGGGAAGGAGGGATGGAGCGTGGGGATGCTGGGAATGAAGCAGGGGCTGCGGAAGCAGGGGCATGGGGCGTGGAGCACCGGCCGCCAAGCCCGCAGCACGCTACAGGGAGAGGGGAGGCTCTTTCGCGAGCAGCACAGCCGCCACGCCGCACCTGTATTGAGGACGCCCATGCGCTGCAGGTTGGCGGTCAGGGACTTGAGGCGGTCCTTGTTAATCTCGTTGGCAAAGACCATGCCCGTGTTCCGCAGCAGGGCGCTGATGTACGTGGTCTTGCCGCCTGGGCAAGGGGGGTCCGTGGGTTGAGGTCAGCAGCAGGGAGAGGGGGGTGGGGGCAGTATGAAAGGGGGTCCCGTGGAAGATGGGGCAATTGGGAAACACGCTAGGGGGCAACAACAGGGAAGGGCCAAGATGCATGCAATGCGGAGAATAAAGTCGAGATGTGGCCGTCCCAAACACAAGCGAGGGGTCTGGAGGGGCGGGGAGAGGGAAGAGGCACCGGGGTGCCTCTCCCCCTTCCCACGCCACGACCGCAGGGGTTGACCCCTCGCTCGCGCAGAGGGTCGGCTCGGTGAGGTCGCTCTTTGGGAGGAGAACAGCCGGTGGCATCAGGCGGACTGCGTCCATCTGCCGTAGCGAAAATCTCCCAATTTTGCAGCAAGCAGGGGCGAGGAGCAGACAGGGAGAGGTGGTCTGCTCCCTTGAGGCAAAGAATACGTCCCCCATGAGTTTGTAACCCCGACCAGGACAGCAGCACCATTCCTGCTGTCCCTCCTCACCAGGTGCGGCAGCGACGTCAACAATGCGCTCGCCCTCCTGCGGGGCCAAGGCCATGACGGGAAGAAAGGAGGAGGCGCCCTGCAGCATGTAGTGCCCCGCCATGTACTCTGGTGTGGCGCCCACCGGCACCTGCGACTCGTACACGACCAGGCCCACCTGTTCAACAGGGTGAATAGACTTGGTAAGAAGGCTGGGCATGTGTAATCCTCGTGGGCCCTAAGCCTGGCGCAGCACCTTGCAAGCTTGCAGCAGGGGTCGTCAAGGATTGAGGTGGAGGAGGGGGCGCCCCGGTGCCCAGCACCCCCCACCCAGGCACCCTGCATTGGAGCAAACAAGGCTGACCTACCCTGGACTGCACTCCCCACCCTCCTCCCAACCACCCCCTCTGACCTTGGACCAGGGCCCGATGGGGTCCAGGTTCACGCCGCGGTTGATCAGAGCGGCTGCCAGCTCCCGCCGCCGCGTCCGCAGCGTGTTCACGCGCAGCGTCACCGGCCGCGGGTTCTGTGAGGGGAAGAAAGCATGGCATGGTGTCAGGCAACGTGATGCCGGGGCACGGCGAGCAGCTGCCCGTGCGCATCGACCCAGGGCACTGCAAGCACAGCCTCTGAAGACTGTCCAGGCGCTGCGTCGGGCCACTGCTGCTCCCCCTCATCCCCTGAAGACCCCCTTCCCCCTTGATTCCACCACCCACCTCGCAGGACTCGATGAGCTCCACGGCCTCGCTGGCCGAAAACAGGTTGAACAGCGCGTCGATCATGAAGTCGTTGTAGGAGTAGTAGGTGACGAGGTCCCGCTTGAGCTGGTCCGTGTACTCGGCGCGGGTGTGCACCCCGTCGCGCCGCGCGGCAAAAGCATCCAGCGTGCGCACGATGTCCTTGATGCGGCGGCGCACGCCCGGCAGGTCTGGGTGAACGGCCTCCTCGGCGCGCGCCGCCTCATCGGGCAGCACCAGCCCCTCGCCGGCGCCGCCCTCGCCCGCCAGCTCGGCAGTCTCCGCCTCGGCGGCCGCGCGGCGGCCGGCGGCGGCGCGGTCCAGGCGCGCCGAGGCGCGCTCCATGTCCCCGTCGGCGTCGGAGCCCCCGGACTCGTCGTAGTCGGAACCTTCGGAGCCGGAGGCGCTGGTGGCCTCGTCATCGTCCTCCTCCTCCTCCTCAGACCCCTTGCCGGCCCTGTGGCCGCTGGCCTCGTCACCGCTGGCAGAGGCCTCGCCGTCGAACTCGTCGTCGAGGACGCTGGAGGCATCGGAGCCCTCCATGTCGCTGAACAGCTCCATCTTGTCTGCTGTCACAGAAGATTGGTGTGTTCTGAATGCTGCACCGTACCGTGTTGATGCTCCACATGTGTGGCAGAGCCTTGCCGCAGCAGGGCAGCACCTCCTCCCCCCACCCACACCACCTGCAATCCATGCATACCCACCGTTCAGCTCGCTCTCGCTGGGATCGTCGTCCTCGCTGACATCCGGGGTTGGAAGTTTGGGAGGGGGGGCAGACCTGTTGAGGGGGAAGCTCGGCAAAAGTGTCAGCACGGTGACCGCCATGCAGAAGGCATGCTGCGCCACGACTTCGCACACCACGCACCTCTTGCCACCAGACACTGCATTTTTGGTCGCCGCCTTCTTAACCTCCTTTGTACGGGCCATGGCCTCGCCTCCTTCCTCCCCTCTGGGCTCGTTCTGGTGTGCGGAGGCAGGCCTGCTGCAGGTCGTGGTCTAGACACCCGACCAGAATAGCGTGGTGATTGAGCAGTATATCTGTATGTCGAATTAGTACGAGGAACTAGATTCAGTCACGTTGCAGCGAGAGTCGGCACCTCGGTATGGAATACGTGCAGCGAGGGCACCCCCCCTCCTCGACAATGGACATTGGCTGCCCCCCGGCATGCTTTCCCGCCAGAGCCCGATCTCCAGCAGCGGGGCGCGGTCCGCGGTTTCGGTGTCCCGGTCGGCCGCTGTCAACAAGCAATGCCCCACGCCTCCAATCCTTTCACAAGGGGGTAATAAGCTTGTTCTGGGACACCAGCGCCTGCAGCCCAGCCCACCTCGTTTCAGGTCGGGCCCTGTGGCGATGAGGGCTTTCCTGTGCCTGGCCGTGCTGGCCACCCTGTGCCTCGCATGCGCGGCCAAGAAGCATGACAAACACCACTCCCCTCCCGTCTGGCCCGCACAATACAAGGTTTGTGTTGGGAATGGGGGCTGGTGTCGCATCGAGCTTTCGAACCGGGCCACCGACATGAATTCTGTTGGCCCTGGTGTCTCATACCCTCCTCATCTCCACCACCGCGCAGGTCTCTTTCAACCTGACGGTGCCTTACATCGACACGTACCAGAAGGGCAGATTCACGTGGGCCCCTCTTTGGGTTTATGAGGATGGCGGGGCTTTTTAGGCCTGTCATGGTGATGACCACCCTAAACCCTACCAGCACTCCTGGGGGTCCCTCTGCTGCATGAGCATTGGACGAGAGGGACGCTTGTACCACAGGAACAATGTTCACCAGAACCCCTATCATTCGTGCGTGCTCAAACCCATGCCCCAACCCCTCAACCCCCTTTTTTCCTCCACACATCCACTCAGGTATGTGTACGACGTGTGGCAAGACGTCAAGGAGATCCGGCAGAAGGTGGTGCGCAACGGCGTCGAGACCGTGCTCTCCATCGGCTCGGAGGACAAGCGCTACAACATCTACCCCCACCGCGACCGCTGGGGCTGCTGGAGCTCCAGCCTGGACGGCGGCGGCGCGGGCCCCACGCTGCAGGGCGCGGAGGTGGACAGCATGCCCCTCAAGGGCGCGGCGCAGAGCACGCTGCGCGCGCTGGGGCAGGAGCAGGGCGCGAAGCTGGTGCACGGGGAGCGCGAGCGCCTGATCAAGGCCCTCACCTTTGTGCTCCCCGACCTGGCCGAGTCGCGGTGGGCGTACCGCGGCAAGGCCCGCCTGGCCGGCGCCGAGGCCGATCTGTACGTCTGGGCAATGCACGAGGAGAGCATGGCCATGGAGTACCGCATGTACGTCGACCCCGCCACCTCGGCGCCCCTCCAGCTGCACCAGCTGGGCACCAACCTGCTCACCGGTGGGCACAAGGACGAGTACGTGCTGGATTATTATGATTATGCCCCCGGCGCCGTCGCCGACGCCGACTTCGACCTGCCCACCGACTCCCACTGCGACACGCCCGACTTTGCCGTCGCGCCCAACGGCGGCGACCTGGCGGCGCGCTGGGCGGCCCACCTCCCCTCCCAGCACTGGGGCGAGCCGGCCTACGACGCCTTTGCCCACCGCCACGGCCGCCGCCACGCACACGCAGAGGAGTACGCTGCGCGCGCCGCCGAGTTCTCCGCCAACCGCGCGTTCGTCGCGCGCTGGAACGCAGACCCCAACCGCACGCACGACGTGGCGCTCAACCGCTTTGCGGACTGGTCGCGCGCGGAGTACGAGGCCGTGGTCCTGCCGCGCGCTGCAGCGGGCGCGGCCCCGCGCACGCTGTTCAGCCAGGCGCCCGGGGTCGCGCGCCACGTGCCCACCACCCCCGCACACATGGTCCCGGCCTCGCTGTCCTGGGTGGGCACACCGGCCGACTCCCCGGTCAAGGACCAGGCGGCCTGCGGCTCCTGCTGGACCTTCAGCACCGTGGCGCCCTTCGAGGCGGCGCTGTTCCGCGAGACGGGGGTGCAGACCCTGCTCTCCGAGCAGAACCTCCTGGACTGCAACTGGATGGAGACCAACCACGGCTGCTTTGGTGAGGCGGGGGGTTAGGAGGGGGTCATGTTGGGGGGATGGAGGGGGGGCGAGAGGATGCAGAAGGCTTCCTTGGAGGTCTTGTGCTTGACCTTGCAGCCCTGGATGTGTGTGGAGGGCAGGGACGAGTGGGTGGCTGCTCACTTGAACATGAGCCCCGGCCCCATAGGCCTAGAACTGAACATAACTCTTCAACCCCCGACACATCCTTTCACCCTTTCTTACCTTGCACTCCGACCGCCAGGCGGGCAGCAAGTGGCCGCCATGGACTGGATCTTTGCCAACGGCGGGCTGGCCGCACAGGCGGACTACCCCTATGTGGGCGTGAACGACTGGTGCAAGAAGGACGTGCCCAAGAAGGCCTTCACGGGCAAGGCGGTGCTGGTGGAGGGGGGCGAGGAGGCTCTGAAGGAGGCGCTCTACACCCAGGGCCCGCTCACCGTGTCGGTGGACGCCTCGGCCGACTCTTTCCGCTTCTACTCCGGCGGTGTGTACCGCAACGAGGACTGCAAGACCAAGGCCGCTGACCTGGACCATGCCGTCATCTTGAGCGGGTACGGGACCACCGAGGAGGGCGTGGACTACTGGCTGATCAAGAACATGTGGAGCACCTACTGGGGTGAGCAGGGGTACATGAAGATCCCACGCCACCCCAACGACTGCGGCATCGCCGCCGAGCCCGTCTACGTGGACCTCAAGGTCGAGGGCTGAGCGGTGGAGAGCGTGGAGGGGTGGGGAGCGACACGCCTGTGTCGAGGATGGTGGGAACCTTTCTGTCGAGGCGCGTAGCATGCCGGCAGGCCTCATGAGCCTCTCGCCCAGGGCGGCTGCCGTGAGTGCGGCCCGGCAGTGGTGCTCGTGCGCAGAGCTAGTCTATGAAGAGCCATGCCAGCGCTTGGGCACAGAGCCAGAACTGCGATTTTGAACCCTGTCATCGATGTGAGAACTTGCGTGCCTGACCCCTGTCAGTGTGACACCATGCTCAGGGAATACTTTCCAGATTCCCGGTTGGGAGACTGCATCCAAGGCCAGGCACCAGCACATGCAGGGGACGGCGTGCATGCGACAAAAAGCAAGCAATTCAGCGAGTCACCCTGTCAGGAGGTCGTAGTGGTTGCCGTTGCTGTACAGCAGCTTGACAGGTTTTCGCTTTTTCCAGTCCTTGCCCGCTTTGGCAAACTTCTCCCCGACCTTGTACAGTGGCGAGTACCCTGCCGCAAACCTAGGAGCGGGGGAGGAGGAGTTCAAGGGCAGGTAATGAGTGAGTCGGACTCTGCCCATTCTCTGAGTGTGAGGCTCGCATCCAGGGGTGCAACTGTGCTGGCAAGGGATCCTTGCTCCATTAATCTCTCCAATCATATGGCACTAACTGGCCTCGAGACAGAGATACTCCACACCCGATTGTACACGACCCATTCTCACCCCTGCTCCTTTGTATAGACGTAGATGGGTACCCTGAGCATCTTTGAGAGCACAAGCAGCTCCGGCTCCCCTCCCCAGAAGCTTGGGTTTTGCAGCCGGCGACAGTAACTATCCCATGGGTGACAGACGTAGGTGGAGTGCGTTGGTTTGTCTGTTCTCTGAAAGAGCGGTCCGCACACATCAGCTCAGACAGTCACAACACGATTGCATTGTCATATATCGTGGACTTTCAAGCTTGCCAGACGCTCACCCGTCATCCCAAGCTTCCCTCCCATCCCACGCGATCCTCGCGCACTTGTCAAGGCTGTCCTCGGTCTGGATGGAAACGAGCGCCTCCTTGAAGTCCGCCCGGCGCTTCTTGGAGCGACATAGGCCTTCGGTCACAGCACCCCGCAGCTGGTCTGCTTCCTGGACCTCCACTTCAGGTCCTAGGAAGATGCCTTTGTTCCTGGCCAGCCCCTGCGCCTGAGACATTTTCCAGGGGGTGGGGTGGGGGAGGTGAGCTTACAAGGGATGCCCAAAAGGCACTCAGCCAGGCGTGGCAAGTCAGCACCTAGAGCCAGTCCAGGTGCGGCTTGGTGTGCAAGCTAGGCAATCAAATCTCTGGTCCCACCCCACCACAACTCACGATGGCTCGGAACATGCATCGACCATCACCCTGGATCTTCACCACCTTGAGCTTCTCTGTGAAAGGGACCTGTGTCGCTCTGCGGGTCATGGCGGCACCAGACTACGTCAGTGAGGACTAAGGGTGCACAGCACCGCTTAGAGTCACTAGACCACGTCCTAAGTGCCCTGCCGCCCACATACTTGGCTAAATCGAACAAGGGTGTCGGCGCACAGAATCCAAGCGATGCGAAGGGCAAATATCCGGCTACTGGCATGTTTGATGGGCAGTGCAGCTCGAAGCAGAGTGAAGCGCCATCTGGAAGCGAGGAGGGAGGAGTAGGTCGGTGATTTAGCAGGGTGCAGCTGCAAGAAGGCAGTCAATCATCATTGTATGCGATGGGCCTGATGCCAGCATACTCGAATCTGGATAATATTACTGGAGCCATGCATGCGAGCCATGTCCATTGCGCACCGACGCTACCAACTGAGCTGCCAGACGATAGGCCAAGGTTGTGGGGCCGACATGCGAACTTGCACGACATTGTGTACGAGTGCTTAATTGAAGTATAGCAACATTCTACATTCCGGATTTTGTATTACTCGCTGTAGCTATCAATGTACCATTCGGCATTTATGACCAACACTATCCGAGCAAGGCGCGCGCGATCGAGATGCGTGCATGAACTTTGTGTATGTCTTTGACGGAGGTTCACGAGGTCCATGGCTCTCGATTGATGTGTAACCTCATGCATATTCCATGAGATGACTGGTCAGCCCCTGTCGAGGCACACCTCCATCTCGGTGCAGAATTCTCTACGACAGCGATCCGGCCGTGGGTGCTCTCCCAACTCCGCTCGCTGGGCAACATGGCCCCTGCACGTGCGGCTACGACTCAGGATCTCAATTAGACATCTACAAAAAAATTGGTCCAGATGGGACCTCAAGTTCAATAATGGCGCACCTCATTCCGTGCGCCAGGCCCTGCCGTCAACCGACGTGTCAGAGTGAGGCCCAGTGGCATCCAGGCAGTTCTGCATGGTGAACGGTTGGCAGGCAGCCCTGAGCGACATTGGGTGCCGCTCCCGTCCTACATCACATCCTTGCCCAATTGACTATCCAACACAGGAGGGACCCTGATGACCTGGCAGTGCGACTGGGCATTTCCCCCCGCTTTGTCGAGCTGATCCTGGAGCTGCCCGGCACCAAGTCAGCAGAGGACATTGCCACCCGTCTCGCTGCATTTGGAGCCCTGCAACAGGCGCTCACAGCGTGAGTAGTGGGTGTGGTGCTCTGGGTGTTGGGGTAGATTTGCTGCGACATGCTTGCCAGCTGCATACTGCTCTCGCAGCACCGGTTGGTATGGACTCCAACTAAGTCAGCCCTCCAGGCAGGCATCCGTGTGCTTCCGAGCGGCTGCTATAGCATTCGGCTCCCTCCTTTCCATGCAGGGGGACGCTGCCCGAGCCTGGTGAGCTGCAATGGCCCAGGGAGCCCCTGTGTTCCTCGTTTCTCGAGACCGCCTCCCGCCTCCAGCTGCCGCGCTTCACATACCAGTACCCCGAGGTCCTCCTGACCCTGCTCAAGCACTTCCTGGCCATGGTCCATGTGAGTGCTGCTGGGGGTTTAGTGTGCTGGCTCCCTGCTGAGGGATCGGCCGGGCTGTAGCTGCTGCTGACAGGGTAAGCCTTCCTCGCGCCACACGCCAGGAGGGGCATGCCCGAGGCGATCATGAGCACTGTAGGCTGTGGGCTGATCCGCACAGGGACCAGAAGGCTCCCATGCCCTGCGCCTTCACACGTCCTCCCCACCCTTGCTTGGGCAGGAGTTTGAGGAGCAGCTCCCACCCACAGAGGACGATCAGCCGCAGCAGTCCGAGGGGTCCGACCCGGACGCCAAGCCCGAGCCAGAGGACTGGTGGAACACCAAGCCCGAGTCCGGCGCCGCCGAGCTGGCAGACTCCCTGATGGATGCATTTGAGAAGGAGTGGGAGCCGGCCATGGAGAATCTGGAGGCCGCACAGCAGGTTTTTTGGGTGGTGGCTCTTGACTCGCGCACTCCCCTTGTCATGAGGTGCGTCGTCTGCGCACATGCCTGCTCATGTCTGTGCTCCCCATACATCGTCCCGTGCTCCTCAACCCCCCCTCTCATCAAAGGCGTTTGAGGACCTGGAGCCCTTGATGGACAGTGAGGAAGGCTTCACGCCCGAGGGCGCCGTCTGGCAGAAGTCTGGGTGGTGCGAGGTCGCCGAGCTCTCGCGGCGTCTGGCCAGGCTGCGGCCGCTGCAGCGCCTCATTGCGGAGCTGGGAAGGGGGGGCGGCATGGGTGCCATGCGCCGAGCTCCGGCCCAGGCATGTGTTGGGGGAGAAAGGAAGGCCAGGAACGAATGGAGGTGTCTTCCGTAGTTTCCAGACCTGGAAGCTCGCGCCGGTCTGAAGAATGCGCCACATCTTGCTCCGGTGCCACTGCCGCTCATGGGTGCACATGCAGAGATGGCGCTCGGCAGGCGAGTGCCCCGCCCTCCTCACCCCCTTCCCCCACACCGCTCACCCCCAGATCTATGCGCCCCGCTCCCCGCTGGGGGTGGTGGAGAGCGAGGCCTCGCCCTCCCAGACAAAGGGCCTGACCCGGTCCGGGGAGCTGTCACGCACCCTGCCCTCCGAGCTCCACCTGCTGGCCAGGGGCGGCGCACTGGGGCGCGGTGGGAAGGATGGCATGGCCGCGTCGACACCGGTGGACAGGGATGACACAGGTATGGCGGGACCAGGAGTGGACAGCGGCGCTGCCAATTCGTCAGCAGGCACCCCCCCTCGCCCCGGGTCGACCGACCCCGCTCGCCTGCTCTTCATGGCGCGCCGGCTGGAGCGCACGCTGCTGTCCTACGAGCGCTGCGGCTGGGCTGACGACCTGCCCACGCGGGTGCTGACGCGGCAGGAGCTGCGCCCCGCGGCGGAGCAAGGGCCCATCCTGCTCTGCCTGGATACCTCGGGGTCCATGCAGGGCGAACCGGAAAGTGTGGCCAAGGCCCTGGCGCTGGAGGCCACGCGCGCCGCGCTGCGCCAGCGCCGCCGCTGCCTCCTTTACGCCTTCAGGTGAAGCGTGCTGGGGCAGAGCGGACCCGGGGCAAGGAATACCAACACGTCATGCTATTCCCCCCCCCCCCCCCACCCATAAAACTTCATAATCA